TAAATCCAATTTCTTGTATTTATGTGCATTACAAGTTCGCGCATGCGCACAACGCCCTCACCAGCTCCAAAACTATTCTAAGTCCAAAGTGAACCCAATCAGAAACAATATAAAGCGAATGAATTTCGAGTGGTAATTACTTTGGAAGGCACGGCGGAAATGGCACATTTATGGTGGTCATCAGTTTTCGTTGAATTACACCCGGAGAAATGAGTTATTGACATTTCAAAATCCCCCATTTGCCACCACAGTTTTGAACTTTTCGCGACGCGGACAGAAATTATAAATCGAGTTTTCTCTAAAATTTGGAATCAAAGTTGAAAAAAACCTCTATTACGGCGTCATTACTGGGTGAAACCCTATCGTTTGGTATACTGCACTTGTCTGTATGTATTCCAGTTTCCTCCAGCGAAATGGCTTCTAACTTACACAGCACCGAGCACAATACTCGTTCTTCCACCTCCACGTAGTGATGTTTGGAGGGAGGGAGGGAGGTAAAGAACGAGTAATAAAAAAAACGAGACAAAACAGAATGACACAGGCTCTGCACCCGCTCTATTTGTGGCTCTCTGGCTACGGTTTCTATTTTTTTTTCCAATTTTTTTTCGACTTTCCTGATTTTTTTCCCCTATCTTTCCTATTTTGTCCTATTTTTTTATTCTTGATTTTCCCCAAGGCCTTGGACATAAAACGTGTGCTCGGGATGCACAAACAATGCGGCAGACCGATCAAATGCACGGTGTACACACTGGTTGTGCACACTCTCATTTCCTTATGGACACGCTTACGGAGAATTTTGTGCCAACGTATTATGGATCACAAATTATCCATATTAATATGGATAACATTGTCCGTATTACAGACAATTTGATCCACATTACAGACATGCCTTCATCCGTAAGGGATCATCCAGAAAGTACGTCCGTCATTCGCCGTTTCGAACCCTTCAAATTAAGGCAATGCAAGCTCTCATGGCGCCTGATGGGTAGACAAAATCTTGCATTCCGTGCATGCGCGTATTGCGGGGTGGCCTACCCCGAGTTTTGCAGGCGCCGAGCTTCTGTAATTTCCAGGATGATTTTGAGAGAAACGGACGTACTTTCTGGACGATCGCTAAGGTATGGACGAAAGGTCTTACGGAGGAGGGCATGTATGTAATATGGATCAAATCGGATCAAATTGTCTGTAATCACTGTAAAAAATTGTCGTACCGGGTACAGGAAAATTTTCCATGGATGAAGTCGTACAAGTACAATCTAAAATTGTGCAATTTACCAGCCCTATGTATCGACTTGGAATCGAATATCGAGCGACAG